TCTTGGAGCTGGGCAGGGAACTGCCAGAGGAGGAAGAAGGGCTGCAGGTCCCGATGGGGCCACTAGGCTTGGTAATGTCGTGGCTTCACCCTCCTGCTTCCTGCCTTGCTTTTATCCTTGAAAGTTGGGGTCTGCACCAAAGCTGTTCCTCACTCTTAGTCATGGGATGGAGCCGTTGTGAGAAAAAAATAAATCCCTTGCAAGGGTCAAGTGCCTTGGAGGAGCCACGGTCTCCCTCCCCAGCAAAGTCCTGGAAAGGTGGAGGAAGGAAACCGGCCCCTCGCTACAAGGGAGTTCTGCCCTGGCCTCCTTGGAGTTTGGGGGGGGGCCACGGGTGCCCTGGCACAGGGAGTCTGCTGCAGGGTCCGCTCCCTGGATCCAAGGGCTTGCAGTCACCGCAGCCCTGCAGGGCCTGGTTCGAGCCACTTTGTGCTTCTGTGCCTCAGTTTCCCTACTCTAAAGAAGTCAGTCCCTGCCCCAGGGAGGTAGGAAGCAGCTCCAAAATAGCACTGCTCTGACTTCCTCAAGTTAAAATGCCAGAAAGGAATGAAATCTTTTTTTTTTTTTTTCCTATAAAGCAAGGCACAGAATAAAACCTCCAGTTTCTTTCTTTAAATGTTCAAGAAGTTGAGTAGTTTGAAGCAAATTCCTCCTGCTTCCCTCCTCCTTTCTGAGCTTTTCTACCTGCATGTCTGTTGCGCAGCCAAACTCAGAAATGCTCTGTTGCCTGTAATAACGTGCCTGGAGTGGTGATACCTCCCCGGCGGGAAGCGGCTTGGTACTGCACCGTGACTGGACCGAGGTCTGTGCCCTGCACGTCAGGCAGATTTTGGTCCTTGTACAGGTTCATCCATTACCAATAGCCCCCGGCGCAGAAACTGCCCCATAACTGATCCACGAGTGAGAAAAAGAGCCCCAGAGTTGTGCAATGGAAAAACCAGCAGCACTGTTTTTCATTCCCCTCTAAGGCAATCCGCAAAATGGTACAAACCTGGAGAAAAGAGCTGAAAAACCTTCCCCTTTCTCTATTTCCCCCTGCGTCGGTTTGATTTCTCTGCTGGGCGCATCGGCAGGGGAGGATAAAGCTCTGCCCACTCTGGAGAAGGGGAAATGCCCCAGGGAGCATTGTACATACAAGAAACATTACCAGAAAGTGATGCAGTGTATATTCAGTTTGGATTTTCTAAAGCTGAGTCACATAGGGGGCTAGAAAAGAAGCCAAAAGTTTAAAAACCAAACAAAGAAACCCAAACAAAACCATCCATGTTTGCATTGCTGTTTTCCCGTTTTCCCCCTCTCATAGGTCTGCTCAGGTGGACATGACTTTGCTTTCTGTAGCTAGGGAGAGGTGTGTGTATTCTCAGCTTTCTTTGATTAAAATTACTTTGACCCCTCTCACAAGGACTTTCTGGGCCTGTTTTTCTCTTGGAGAAAAGGATTAAGCTCTCTGTCCCGACACCTTCTCGTCTTGCTGTTCAGAGGGTGAGGAGCTCCCATGGGGGTTTCCCAAGTTGGATTGTGAGTGCCATCAAGGCTGGAAAAACCAAACGCCCCTTGAAGTTTTCTGTGTGGCATCCGATGCTCTCTCACACCAGCTGAGCTGAGAGAGAATTAAAACATAATGTGCTTCCCAGCAGGAAGGGAGGACCAATTAAAACCAAATTTCATTTTGCACATCAATGTTTACTAGCGAAACTCAGACACAAACAACTCTTTCTGGTCAAGATCTTCCATTGCAGAATTAATTTGCTCATTGCGCAGAGCCTCGGAGAGTGCTGTAATTTGGTAAGCACCACACACATAAATAATAATTACAGGTTCCTGC